CTCGTTGTTATCGGCAGCCATTTTTTCACATACTCAGTACACTGTGTCCTGTGACAATAAAAGTGTCAGCAACAGACTGATTCTATACAGATTCCTGCTATAATGGTTACTAGTATACACTGTACAAACAGATGAAACCTACTTGTCCCTAATCACAGCGACATGGTAGTAGACTCCTGTGGGTGTCCCCGGTCCAGGCTCCCATCTCAGCATATGATGGAAGTGGTCTGAGGTCAGGTTCACGTTGACAGGCGGAGGGAGTTTACTCATAGCTGGAACGCAAACAGGACATTTAATGTTTACTCGTTTTTCTTTTTCTTATGTGATGTCACTTGAGTCAGCGACAGTAGTTGGAACTAGAGGAGGAAAAAAAAAGACAATATCTCTGGTTCTGCTGCATCGGTTTTACTCCTTTTCTTTTTTTTCAATGAATCCATTGCGACTCCAACAATTATTATTATTATTATTATTATTATTATTATTACAGTTTGCAGTGCAATGCTGAATCAGTGGAGTGCCATTTTAGGGCTACACGATATGGTAAAAACATCACAATGCGATTATTATGATTCACGATTAGTGCGGGAATGATGATCATGATTTGCTTTTAAGGGTCTGAACCAAACAAAACCTTCTTAAATCTGGAGAACATTATTTACAATGCAGATTTAACTAACTCTAATGCTGTTTATAACTTTTATAACCAAAAATGGTAGCTTCATATTGCACTGGGCCATACTGGGATGGATTCATTCTGCGGCCGTACACTCTTTTGAAAGATAAGGCTTGAGATATACTTCCTGTTAAACCACACCTTCAAGCTGCGTTCATTTCTGAGGATTTCTGAGGTCCAAATGGACGCAGGATACACGAGGCAGCCATCACGTGTACGCAGTAGTTAAAAGTAATGCTATCTTTTAAAATGACTGACTGACTAGGACTGCAACTTTGCTTATTATCAATCTATAAAATATCTAGGTAGGTATAGGAGCCTCTGTGCCCGCTTATCTATCTTTTTTATTATCTTTTAGCATTAGTAAATGTCT